ATCTCGAACGTGGCAGGAATAAGCCTGTGCTACAGCAAACCTGGGAACGAATCGTTTGTTCCCATCTCCAGCTCCTCTGAGCCTGGCTCTAAGGTCAAACCAAGCTTTTATCTTCTCCTGTATTCCACTATGCTGGGAAAAAAAAAAAGTAAAAATTAGGGGAATAAGTTAGCATGTGAAATGTAATTTAACTAATTAGCCCACTAGAGTGGAAAAGATTTGCTAACCACTTTGAAGTCAAACCTACTGCACTTATTAGGACATCACAGAGGAGAAAGGAAGGAGGTGAAGATGGGGAGATCACCAGGACAGGCTCTAGAGGATCCAAGTGCCGAAGCAGGACACCAGGACTTTCACCCGATCACTTCTCTTTTCCTCTCACTCTGCAGCGCTGCATGAAACATCCAGCTCCGACACAGATGTGCTGGAAGAGCAAAGGCTGCGCCGCACGCCCCCCTGACTCGCCATTTACTGGATGTTGCAACAAGGGGGCATTTCCCCATGCCACAGGGCTGGGTCAGCTGCGTGGCATTAGCCTGGGATGCCCAGCCACCGGCAGACCAACTCGCCGGGACTGTGTGAGATGGGCAGCAGCACCCACCACCTGGGACTGGGCTCACTGGTCCCTCCCAGCCCTGTGGCTCCCACTCCCAGGGAGCGGATATCGCCAATTAAGCTGACAAAACAGCGGGCCATAAAGCTCCTTCGTATCAGGGAACTGCCCGAGATGCCACAAAAAGCCGTTATATCACTTGCAACAGGCCGTTCATTGATTTCCCCACTTCCCCGATATAGAAACTGTTGCTCTTTTATTAGCAAAGCTTTAGAAATTCCTACTCATAATAGCAAGAGAGGCACCCTGGGAAATTTTGCAACTGCTGTGGCTGAATTATGAAAGGGAGGGATTGACAGCCCCATCAAAAGCTAGCGAGGGAGACAGAAACAAGAGCCTCCTCTGCCCGACACACTCCACCACCTTGGGGGGCGCCTGGGGGGATGTGCCCCCTCCAGCTGACCACAGGCACGAGCTGCCCATGTGTCTCCATCACCTCCAACCGTCTACAAATATTTCCTTATTTTCCAGCTGGTGGAACACTCCCCAGAGGAGCCCCACTCTGGGGCAGAGCAGTTTTCCTGAAAAAAAAACAGAGTACGAGATGTCGACCCAGTAGAACTGTCATCCTGATGGAATAGGCTTGAGCCGGGGGCTCATGTCTTTGTGGGGTGTCCTGATCTGGGCTTTGCCTGGCTGCCTTGCTCCTTGTCAGGACCAAAGCCTGCTCCACTGGGAACGCAACCTGAAAGAGGTCAGCTGTGTGTTCAGCAAATGGATCTGCAGCACAAGCAAAGCTCATTTTTCAAGCCAGGCCTTCCCGCAGCTATGGTCCAACTGGTGATGGAGACTGACGGAGAGAATCCTGCAGAAGAGCTCCGCTGAGGTTATTTCCCCACCATGCCGTGTACATGCAGGAGCTCCAGGCCAGAGAGATGGCAGGATTTGTCCTCTGGGGAGGGTAGAGACCTGACAGCAACTTGAGCACGCCAAGAGCACACGCAACGGTCACCAGATGCTCCCGGGGCCACATCAAAGCAGGTGTCAACAGGAGTCAGGGGCACAGCAGAGCACAGCTCTGCTCCTGTGGCTTTTGGCTCTGCCTTGTGCCTCCTGCCCTGGTCTCCAGTGCCACTGTGCCCTCCTCCTCCCCCTGCAACACCTCCATTCCTCACAGTTGCATCCTGGCTCCTCAGAATCTCCCTCTACCCTTTGCTGCCGTGGAAGCGTGCGCAGCAACTGCCAGTCAGGGAGATGGAAAATACTCGTCCGCCTCCTCACCCACAAAACCAAACAGGGTCCTGATTAGAGGAAAGTTTCTCTGAGCAGTCTGGGAGCGTGGCTGGCTCCGACATGGAGCACGGAACACGAGCACGTGGCAGCACACAGCACTGCTCCTCTGGCAGGGGTAGCAGCCATGGGGAGAGGAGAGCAGGGAGGGCTCACCGCAGGGGCTGCAGGGCGTTTTGGGAAGAGGGGAGCTCGCTGACGGGGCGCGATGCTCCTTTTGCAAAGAGCGAGGAGGGTTGCAAAGTGCCAGCTCAGCTGTGGCAACACCCCCATCACCCCGGAGCGCCCAGGGCAGCAGGGCTCGGGGCAGGTGGGGGATGCAGCCAAGACCTTCGGTGCTGGGAAAAACTCCAACTCCCTTGCCATGAAGTTGATTTGTTTTACCCTCTCCCATCCCTGCAGACCTGCTCGAGTGCTCCCGCACTTGTAACGGGTCAGGAAGGCAGCGCTGGGCCAGGGCCAGCCCGCTGCGGCGCAGGCAGGGTTCGACCGCGTGTTAACACGGGTTGAACCAGTTCCCGACCCCTCACCTCTCAGTAGCGCTTCCTTTGGGTGCGAGCATCCGAAAGCCACCGTGTAACACAGCTCCTACGCTTTTCCTAACCTGCTTGCGCCACCTCCAAGAAGAAAGGCAATTCATGAGCCTGAAAGTCCTGAAACAGAGGGAGAAATGCCAACATGGCTCCCTCCACCCCCCTGCCCAGGCAGGAGCGATGGGAGGGAGGTGAGCTGGTACCTGCTCGCAGAGGGATGTGAAACACCAAACCCTGCCTGGCTGGGGGGAATCTTTCAGCGGTGAAAGAGGAGTTTCACCATCGCTTCACAGACAGAAATGCCACTCAGGACCTCCCTGCTGGCACTTCCCCACCGGCCTGTGCTTTGCAGCAGAGGGAGGTGCCAGCTCCAGGAGGGTGCAGGAGGTGCTGTGCCCCCCCCTTTTCAGGAATGGAAAATGGAGCAAGCATCCTTAGCCTCAAAGCAGGGGTGCACGAGCGTGGAGAGGCTGGGCAGTCCCTGACCTGCCTCTCACTCACAGGTGCTGCCAGCCAATGCTCGCCCCTGGGGTCTCGTCCTGCTCTGCCCAACGCAGGAGAGGGCAGGGGATGAAGGCACCAGCGGAGCCCTGAGCTGGGATAGGTCATTGTGGCTGGGAAACCCACATGGTGCACATGCAGAGCCTCAGTTTAAGGGAAATAGGGATGCTGGAGACCATGTTCCCAGCCTGACCTCATTCCCAGCCTGACCTCGCGGCCGTTCAAGTTCCCACAGGAAAGGACTAACCCTTTCTGTCCTGCACAATGGAGCTAACGCCCCAGCGATGACCCGAGGGCTGAGGATGCCCCAGTGTGCCAGGTTACTGACCAGTGCCCTACCACAGCACAGCTCCTGGACTGGCTGTAACCCAGTGGCCGCCAAAGCATTACCAGGAATTGTTAAAAAACAACCGAAAAAAAACCAAACAACAACACCCTCTAACACAGCGCACAACCCCCTTAAAAATTATCTGTCTTTTCTGCAATAAAAACAGGAATAAGATTAGCAAGCGGATGGCACTTCTAAGCAACCCAGGCCAGGACATGCCCTGCGGCCGGTGCCAGCCGCTGCCCAGGTGAGCAGAGGTCTCCAGCTCAGGCTTCCCCCTCTGCGGGGAGGGAAACCTCCACCTGTGTCGGGCAAACCCTGAGGATCCCCCCACGCTGCACCACGGGGCCGCAGGGAAATCCAGCACCAGATTGCACGACTGAGCAGGAATGGATATCGGGTAGCGTAAGCCTTGAAAAATCCTCTGCTTAAAAAAATAAATAAATAATAATAATAAAAAAAAATCAAGCTGAATGAGAATAAAGCACCCAGCCATGGGTGCACTCGCTTCATCCCATGCTCTGGCCACCTCCCAACGCCCCGCTGCCCTCCCTCCCTCCCATGCTGCAGGAGGCACCTGCGCTTTCGGGGCGCGTTTCCCACCCCTGACACACCCCACCAGCTCTGCAGTGGCCGTCACAGGTATCCTCATCCGTGCAGCAACACAGTAGATCCAGGCAAAGCCCTGGGGTGTTGCTAAATTTAGGAGGCTCCCTGCAAGTCCCCTGTCCCTGCAGAGACACTTGCAGGCTGCCCGCCCCTGCCAAGATCCAGCACACCGCCCTGCAGGCAAGTCCTCCCTCCTCCCAAGGAAGCAAGCTCATTCCTGTACTGTCATTTCACCTCTTCAAACACACAGATAGTGTAGAAGAGAAGGTAACGCTAACCGTGACATATCAACCGCTTGCCATCAAGAAAATCCAGATTTAAGGCTCCTGCGGTGACTGTACAAACACTGAACACACAGAGCAAGAACATGGGTTTTCCCTGCTCCCAAATCAAAGGAAGTTTTGTCTCAAATTTTAACAACACCTGGATCACACCCAAACCCCTTACACAGGCAGAACACCGACGGCTCACCACCGACCAGCTCGGGCAGGGAGTGCCCCCGTTTCAGCTTCTCATCACGGGGTCCCTTCTCGCGTGGGGTATTTCTGTGAGGGGCAGAGTTAAGGTGACAAGAGGAGCCCTCATCAGGAATGCCCTGACCCGAGCACATCGGGAAACCTCCACCTCAGCGCTGCAACCAACAGCAATTTTTGCATCGTGGAGCAAACCCTGCACTTGGTTGTAGCTGCAGCACAGCAGCGGAGCAAGAGGGCAGGATCGGTGCCCACACAGACGCCAAAACCAGGCAGGGCAGCCACCAAGGTGTGTGAAGGCAGCGTGGAGCTCTGCAGCCAACTGCTGCCTCCCAGGGTTTCACACCCATCGGCCACCCCAGGGCGGCAGAGCCAGGGCACACATAGCAAACACTCTTTTTTTGCAGTGAGCTACAGCACAAGTCTTTTTCCATATAGGAAGGCTTCCCCTCCCTCCCAAACTACTCCTTGCATTTTGGTGCCCTGGATTTGGCAAGTGCAAGACATGGTCTGCTTCAAAATACACCACTTCAGAGAGGAGACAGTCACAGCTTGAGGCGGTGCCAGCTCTTGGCACCTTTAACTTTGCCAGAAGTTCCCCACTCCCGGATAGCACCGGGGTGGGGTCACAGCACCTCTCAGCCCCTTGCACACCCACCCCATCCCTGGAGCTGCAAACGGGCGGGCTGGCGGCTCACTTGCCTTCTACTTACATCATCATCCTGCACGCTCAGGGGGATATCCAACATGCACATCTGCACAGGCTGCACCAGAGCCTTCTGCACGTTGAACAAAGGTTTTGCCTCCATCTTTCCGGGGATGGAGGGGCTGCTCATTCTTCTCTCTCTCCTCCGCCGCTCCTCTTCCAGGAGCAGGTCCAGCCCAGGCAGCGAAACAGATTGGAGATCTCTCCCTGCTCAATTTTGTCAGCACATCTTGCCAACAGCTGCTGCTTCTGCTGCTCTAAGAGGTCTTATTTCCTTCCTTGCAAATCAAAGAGCTGCGAGGAGCCGCACCAAGAGGCTGTGTGTGCGCGTGTGTGAGCAAGTGCGCCTGTGTGTGTGCGTGTGTGTGTGTACCCGGCGACGTTGCCGAGGTTGGGGACACAGCCCTTGGCGAGCACACCGCGGCACGCTGCCTTCCCCCAGCCTCTCCTTTCTTCCAGGGCAACCTCGGTGCTGGCTCCGGCTGCTGCTTTGCACTGGCGTGAGGTTTTTCAGCCTCATCTACATGCATGGCACTCGCAAACCCCGCGCATTGTCTCGGAGACACAACAGGTCCTGCCTGCTGTTGATTTCTGATTATGATCAGAACTGTGTCTGCAGCAGCTACAGCATTTCCCTCTGGCTGTTGTGGCAGGCAAACAAGAAGAGCTGGAAGGATGAGAGGGTGTGAGACAGAGAGCTTGAATGATCTGGGCTGGAGCCTCCCCTTTTTCTTTCCTTCTCTTCTCCCATCCCTGCTTTCCATTGTCAGAGGCAGATTCAGCTCAATGCCCTCCTGTACTCCAAGGACCACAATGAGGCTTAAATAATTCACATACGGAGAGTGCTTGGGAACCTTATGGCACTGAAAATGCAGCGGGGCACTAAAAGACAGTGAACACTGGCGATTGTTTTCTTTGCAGGTCAATTGTGCGTGGAAAGTTTTGCCCAGGTGAGGCATGGCGCCGGCTGCATTTTCCACCAGACAGAGCCTGTGACTCCAAAACAAGAGTTTTGCTAATGGGAGTACGGCACAAAATGGGGTGGTTTTGCTACAAAGAGCATCTTCCTACAGAATTCACACCAACAGTAGCAGTAGGATGAGAGAGTCAACGCGGAGCAACTCGTGTATCACCTCCATAAACACATCTCACAAACAAGAGTAAACCTGGGGCCAAGTCTGCGAGGCATCTTCTCACCCTCATCAGCTGCAGAGACCAGGCTTAACACCCCGGGGAAGCACCCAGGGTGCCTGTCCCCAGGGAGGGCAGCAGTAGAGGAGAGCAGCAGTTTGGGGGGTTCACCGAGGGGAGTCACTGGGGCCAGCTAAGTACCCGACAGAGGGGCGTGCGGAATGAGGGGCTGACAGTAAAAAGTCCTCATCGCCCTCAAACAAACAGGAGTTTACATCCTTACAGCTGCCCTTCGTGCTGGGCCCGGTGGGGGTGACATAAATAGGGTGCGCAGGGTTTCTGGGTGGTTCCCATGGCTGTGGGCGGCAGCGGGTCCCACGTCGGCGCTGCCCCTTGCCACGTGCAGGGCAAAGGTCTGGGATGGTGCAGCCCCGTCCCAGCTTTCCCAAACCCAGCTGCTGCCCGAGGGTACAGGCCCAGCTTGTGGCAGGCCTGGGTTTCAGAGCAGAGCCAAGGAGCCCTGCTGAGCCGGGCATTCCTGCAGCGTTAGGTAAGCTGGGCTTGGAGAGCCCTGCTCAGCGCCCAGCCAGCGCCGGCCCCGCTCCCTCCTGGCCTCCCCAGCTGGGCTGAGTCATTCACACAGGAGCCAGAGCCAGCCAAGAGCTCGGGTTAGATGGGTCTCTCAGACAATGGACCCTTGGTAGTGCTCGCAGTTGGAGCTGGGCACCTTCCCAGCACGCTGGGGCAAACGTGGGACTGCAGTGGAGCCCAGCCCATCGCTCCTGGGAGGAACACAAGGGTGAGAAAACCAGTGCTTCCATGCTGTGGGAATGGGAGTTAATGGACAAGCCTGGAACAAGACCAGATAGGGATGAACCCACCATAAAATGAGTTTTAACTGGAAATTGGACCAGATTCTTCAACCACCATATGGCTGAGACAAGCAGCAGCAAGGACACAGAGGGCAGCACTGCAGCAGCCCCAGGAACAGCTTCACAGGGGAGCAGAGAGGGGAGGTCACTGCTACAGCACATGGACAAGGCAGTATGTCCAGGACCACGTCCCAGCATCTGTCTTACAGCATTTTCGTGACTGTCTGGCTCTTTTCATGGCAGAGAGGTAGTGCCACAGCCCAGGAAACACCCTGGCACGGCCAGTCACTGCCCCTCTACGTATACGACGTCTTGGTGACTCAATAAAACGTGTGCTCCCATGGAGGACAGTCCCACCTTTCACACTGCTGTCACCAGCAACAAAATGTGCCCCCAGCACAGGCCGTACCCACAGCTCTGGCTGCAGGAAAGGTGATTCAGACCTGTGGTTCAGCCCCAGCTCAGGTTACTCACCTCCCTGCTACAACAGGTTGGCAGAGCATGGCTTTCCAGTAACAACTTTCCAGAAACAAGCTGGGCTTGGCCAGCTGGGATTGCACCTTCCAACAAGACTGCACCAACACCCTGAGCAGGACAGAGATTTCACGTTGAAGTGACAGGATCTCCAAGGACTACCATCCCCAGGAACTCACTTGTCATCCTGTTCAGCAGCTAATCTTTCCCATGGGAACAGGAGTCTCTGCAAAGGTGGTGTGGAGGTGTAGGAGTCCCATCATCTGCTGGTGCCTGGGTCTGCAGGTCTCCTCGGACCTCACAGTAACAGGAAGGGATAGACAGAGGCTGCTACCCCAGAGCACACACCTCTGGCAGGGGCTCAGTCTGCTCCGCTGGTCCCCAGAGCCCAGTGACCTCCCACCACGCAGCTGTGAAGATGCCAAAGGGCTAACTAACCCTTCTGCAAAAGTCACAAGCCTCACAGGCAGACAGCAAAGGAAAACAAAACTACAAGTGCAGAGTCTCGAGAGAGATGCCAGGCAGAGCAGCCGCAGGAGAGGCTGGATGGGAGAACCACCACTTTGGAGAACCATCTCAAACCAACAGGACGCAGTGGACGGGGGCTGGTGGGACACGAGAGCTGCTGTGCATGGAGGGCTTCGGCCAGATGTAACCAGCCAGATGTTGTGGGCACAGTCCCAGAGACAGTGTGAAACCCTCCCCGTCTCACCAGGGGCCAGCTTGTGCATGTCCACCCACCAGTTTCCCCAGACACCTGTGTAAGTCACTGGGGAACGTAACGGTCCTTCAACAGAAACCTGCAAAGTGGTTTTGAATAATTTCCCATTGGGAAATTTTCAGCAGAAGTACAAGGCAAAGATTCCCCCGGCATCACACCCGTCCAGACAGGACGATCCCACGCAGATTTCTGAACGACAGCCTCATCCTACTCCTCCTCCAGTCTGGCTGGCGTGAGTGGAAACCATGCTACGATCCCAGATCCTCCGGCAACAGCAGCCGAGCACCTTAAATGTACCACGGTAACAGAAAAGCCATCCCCACTAGCACAGGACTAACTCACTGCCAGAGCCCAACGGCGGCGTGTGCCAGCCCAAGGAGAGGGAAAACCCTGCAAGGGGTGGAGGAGAAATCTCCCCCCTCAGATCTTCTTACCCCAGCGGCCACTTCTGGCAGAGGGGGAAGCCCCAGCACAGCCACCGATGCTTCCCTATTTCATTTTGCACTGGAGCTTTATCGTTTCCTGCAGATCCAGCTGAGCAGATAAAGCCCATCATGAGACCTCACTGCTTAGCAACCACTACTGGGAAAACACTGTTTTCCAGTAACAGCCTTGGCAGGAACAGAGCAACTGCAGGGCAAATAAACTGCAATCCCTATTCCGGATGCATCCTGCTCCCAGATGCTCTACTGCCTCAGGGAGACCGACTCCTGCACTGGGAAGTGCATCCATTCCTTAAGGTCTGAACAGCCTTGGCTACCCTGCAAGCACATCGTTCTGGGCACACCGTGAGGGACCACGACTGAATCTCTGCATAAACAAATGCAGGTTTCAGTGACAAAGTCATGCACAGGAGGGTCTTGGCACCCAGGACGGCTGCAGTGGTGTAAACATTCCCAATGCTCCAAGAGCTGGTGACCAACCTCTCTCACCATGTTGGTCGTTCCTTACACCGAGTGAATCACGAGGACAAAGGCCCACCTAAGGGAGGCTGACTCCAATGCCTGATGCACCCAAGCATCAAAGACTTCCACAAAATCCAAGAAATGCCACAGAGATAACAATGCAAGTTTGTTTTTCAAAGGAAATTGCAACTCTGTGTATTGTCCGCAAGCCCAAACATCACCGCATCCTGCACGAGAACGAGAGAAAAAGACACAAAACCAATGGGTTTATTTTCACTGTGCGAGGCTGATAGAAAGGCAAAGAGGAAACAAAGCAGCATGACGAGTGAAAGGCAAATGGAAAAATCCCAACAGCTCTTCCCCTTTGATACTTATCAGTAATAGAAAGAGGAAATCTGCTTTCAAAACCACAGAAATCCCAACATGATAGCATCCTTCTGAAGAGATCCAGCATTTACAGAAAGCCAACGGGTAGATTTAGAGAGGCACAGACGTGAAGGTGGACACCTAGTGGGACTTCCAGGAGACCACGAGCAGGTAGGACACCTATTTCTCAGTGAAAAACAAAGGCAGCCTGGTATCTAAGCTCATGGGTTGCTTCCATTTGAAATCCATCTGTCATGTCCCAAATGAGTTATGAGAACAATTCCCACTGATTTGCAGCTGCACCCTTGTTTTTAGGCATTTATTTGAAGAAAGTGCCCTTGTTCCCTCAAAGTTACTTGCGATAGTGGCCACAGCCCATGCTGCACCTCACACTTCTGGAAAGCCTGTCTGGCATTCAGCATCCTGAGCGGAATAAATTCCCGTGTTCCCCAGAATAGATACGTATGCAAAATTAATTCACAATCAAGCCCGAGCAAAGCATGAGACGGCCTTTTAATAGGTGCAGAGCAGCAATTACCAACGCAAAGTGAAAGCCAACAAGCATTAAAGGGCCGGGGGGGGGGGG